GGAGAAGATGTGTTGGAAGACGCTGCTGCTGCTGCTGCTGTGTTACGATGCTCAGGCCACTGTGGCCCACAGGTGGAGCAGGGGTGAGTTGCTTTTCATCATCTGTCTGATGCTCATCGTTCTTTTTTAAATACAACTAGGAATTGGGGGGGGGATTAGAAACCCCATTTCCTCCTTTAATCTCATCTCTGAGGATTGCTTTATGCTTCTTGACAAGTTAGCAGGTGTTAGGAGGTGACAGGGGACAGGACACTGGAGGAAATCAAAGCGCTGAGGGGCTTGGTCAAGGTGGGAACGCAGAGGGCATCCCTCTCAACACGCCAGGGCAAGTCATCTTTGCTGCATGGAATGTGCACAGACCCCCTCGATCTCCTCCCCGCCCTCCCCCAGGCTGCTGCCCTGGGCAGGCGTGCGGAGAGCAGGTGTCCAGGTGTGACATGCTAACACCTGGGAGTATGGGTGACAGATGCTACCTGGAGAGCCTGGCTGGAAGTGGACACATCTCCGCAGCCAGGCAGAGCAGGCCAGCGGCAGGAGAGGAAGGGAAAGTCTTCAGCATCCTTGCGTCTACCTGCCTTCTTCCCCCACCGGCCCCCAGCCCTTCTCAGATTTAGTCCCTCAGAGCCGCGTGCCATCTTTTCTCTATGCCCAGGACCAGCTCCAGGTGGCAGACAGACAGCACCCCCAGCCAGTGGGAGTTTATCACTGTCAGGAAGTGAGGGGCCAAGAGCGTGGACCACTCATGTCAATCTGAAATCTGCCCGCCCACCCCCTAAAGTCAACTAAGGTCTCTCTCCTGGAAAGAACTGGAAAGAGGCAGGCTCATAGGTGTTTCGAGAGATCCAAACGGGGCTGAAGACTGGCATCAGGGGTCAGGATGAGCCTCCGGGTCCCAAGGAGAGTGTCAGGGAGGAAGGCCCGGCCCAGTGGGGACAGAGGGCACAGAGCAGATGGACCTGGAATGGAGGGGGGTGGGCGCTGCACTTATTTGAGGCTTTATTCCCTCGTTTTTACGCCTGAGATTAGGGACTTGCCAGTTCTCTGAACTGAGCTGTGAAATGAGTGTTGCCTTGGGGCAAATAATAATGTAACATTTTCCTTTATTTCCGGTAAGACCACTACACACACACACACACACCACCCTGCTCATCATGTGCACAAACTTTGGGGCAACAGTTAGAAGCAGAGAGACATTGGAGTGATGTCCTGCCACTCACCCTGTGTGACACTGGGGTCTTCCTAATTAGCCTATAAAAAAGATGGTAAAATCCACTCTAGGCTGTTAGAAAGCCCGATGAGATGATTTGATTTGTAACAGGCTTGTAGACACGATAACCACATCATGAGCTACCACCCCACAAGGAACTCACAGGTTTGGGCTCTGCCTCAAATGGGGCTGTGTGATCTCTGGCAAGTCTCTTAACCTCTCTGAGCTTTCGTTCACTAACAGATACCAGATTAACAAAACCAAAACTTACCTTCACTGTGTTGTTGTGAGACTCAGATTAAAAATGTAAATAAGATGCTTTGTAAACGACGAAGCACTATATAAATGTTAGCCACTTAAAAATGAAATAATTCCATTTAAAAAAAAAAAAAAAGCTTGAGATTCTCAACAGACAGTTTTATAGCAACATCCTGGGAGCAACTGCTCTGGCCCCACCCAGTCCGCGCTGGGGAAGAGCTGCCCCAACAGCAAACCACCAGGAAGCAGGGGCAGCGACCTGGAGGCAGAGGCGGGTGAGGCAGCTGATGCTAAGCACCAGATTAGTGGTCCACATCAGTGCGCAGTCAACAAACGATAGGGAGCCCTCGGCCCTCATCAAAAGCCTTCCACATAGTGGATCTTTCTTCGCTTTTAACATTTTTTTCCTACTTATAAAAGGAATACACAATTGCCACCAGTTTTTAAAAGACGGAGTGGGAGTCACACCCAAATGTAAACAATTTTTCCAAATGTACTTACTGTTCCTTTCACCTTCACCCTTACCCCATCCCACCCCAAACCCAGGCCTAATTCCCTTTGGAAACAGTCTCAGGATGACCACCCTTATAAGATCCTCCTCCTCCAACAACCCCCCCCAACCCTCC